GCTAATACTACACAAAAAGGGGGTTGTGGGGGGGGGGGGGGGGGGCGCCCCCTTAAGCCACTAAACTTGTGATTCCTACTCTTTGCTTAAAAAGTAAAAATTTAGAAGAAAAGGACTGTGATGTCCTGCATCCTGACATACTTTTTCAAACAAAAAAGAATAAATATATAGGATGAACTTGAGCAAAGAAATTTGCTTTACCAAATGTGTTATTTTTGACCCCTTGTTTGGTGAATATCTCTGTCAAACATCATGATATAAAGCTAAAAATTTTATCACAGCTTCTCCACCCCAGTCCCAATGTTTCCTGACAATTTCATGCAATTTGAATGTTCTTGGCCCAAGATAGATTTTTGAGAGGGAGAGAGGGCCCTAAATACGAAGCAAAAGTCATAATCTTTCTCTCTTCTATTACTTGTTCTTCGACGGACAATTATTTTCAGTCAGTAATAGAAAACTAAAGTTTCGTAATAACTCGATTAGGTAGCGACCTCTCTTGACAGAGTATATATTCTAATTACTTACTAAACAACCCATGTTACAAATATAAAAATACAAAATTCAAAAGTATTTTAAAATAAATTTCTCTATTTAGGTACTATATATGAAACAAATGTTTATTATTGGTTAACCATAGTTTATACAAACTGATCGATTATAATATTATATCCATTGGTAAACATGATGATGAATTGAGTATGACATTTTTATTTAATTTGACATTGAATTTTACTTTAGATTCAATATATCAAACGATAATAATACTAGATAAATGGCACAAGTACTCGATGCTTATATTAATAAATTAGTGAATGTAGTTACAGCTGATGGTCGAATCATAATTGGAACATTACGTGGATTTGATCAAGCAATAAATATTATTTTAGAGGAAAGTCATGAACGTGTTTTTTCATCAACAGATGGTGTTGAACAAGTTCTTCTTGGTCTTTATATAATTCGAGGTGATAATGTTGCATTAATTGGTGAAATTGATGACGAACTTGATAAAACTATTGACTTTTCTAGAATTCGAGCAGATCCATTACCAGTTGCTAAAACATAAGCTCTGTATCTTTTTGTCTATTGTGATTTTCTTTTCTTTTTTCTTGTTATTATTGTCGTCAGATGATTATCTCTTTGTATGAAATCCAAATACTTTTTGTAACTATTGATTCAAAAAAAAAAAACCAAACATAACAAAAAAATAGGCAATGTCTAATATGACTCGTCAATATAGAAAAAAATAAGAGTTTTTCGTTTTTTTTTTTTGTGTGCGACATAACCAAACAAATCAAAATATCTTAATTATCGAAATTTATATAGAATAGAGAAGTATTGTGTAGTAAGATTTGAGAATGATGATTCATATCCTGACTTTTCCAACTAATAGAGAATCGACAATTTGCTTGAAAGTGGTGAACTATAATTCAAGGCATTTTATATTTTTATCTACTCTTGATTACTTTTCTTACGTATTACGAAGATTCTGAGATTGAGAAAAGATTGAAATATTTGATATGACTCTAGTTTGTAATTCTTCAAAAAATAAATATACAATTAATTAATGCTTTAGTTCATAATAGAGAAAAAACAAGTTTTAACAGAAATCGATTTCAAATTGTAGTTTAAAAATTGTCTCGTATGAATTCATTGCTATTTCAATGAACTTTTTGATTGTTGACATTCTGTAAAACATGATTACTAATGAATCGTATCATAGGTCTTTCTACAAGATGATCAAAACAAAAAATTTATCCCGTTATGAAATGTAACTTCTGCAGTTATAAATACTAAATAGAAGCACTTTTATTTTGAACATATTCCACTGTATGGAGAAACAGACAAGAAAGTTGTTAAATATGAAGTCAATTCCAGGACGAAATCATATTTGATAAATTTTGATCCTTTCTAGTAATTCAATAATGATACAGTTTTATCACCTAAAATTTTCGAGTTATGTTTCTCAGTGTTTATAACTTGAGTATACATATTATTGCTAAATTTTTACTATTATTAAAGTATTTGCCCAATAGCAATCTTCCATATTTTTTGCATCAAGGATGTACCGTAGTAATTTAATTTGAATTCATTTTCATTATGATGAATTATACAGAATGTCCTACAAGTTCATGTAAAAAGTTTGCATGAATAACGTTTAAACAGTTGAAGCAATTTATATATTTTTTTAAATAATATTATAGTATATACTCTGAACTTTTGTGAAAGATAAAATTTAAGTTATCTATCGTTGTGGGAGGAAAATGCAAGTTAAATTTGACCTACAAACGCTACACATAGACTTTATTACGAATACTTTTCAATGTTTTTGCGACATCATTATAGTAGTAAATGGACAGCAATCTGACAGACCTTCAAAGAACATAGAAGAGAAAGTGGACGAAGTTCATGATACTTGTGAAAATGTATTACTATTGAGTGTTTTCGGATTGTTGCAATAAGCTGCCTCATTCAACGAACAATATTAGGTCAAAACTATGGCTTGATATCTTCAGATGAAGTCATATGAGGTACAATTTGTTCAACAACTTTATGAAGAAGTTTCACAAAATCGAATAAAGTTCTGAAATATCGATACCCATGTTAGAAAATGTCAACAATCAAAAGAATTCTTTTTTTTCAGACGAATTATATTTTCATTTCAATAACTTAACGATAAGCATTAAGTGAAAACCTACGTATTCTGTAGCATTTTTCTAAAGATTTCGGAAACAATGGATTTATATATTTCAGTTGATGGTAATCAATTCGAATTTATTTTTGTAAACCAAGCTATATAAAATGAAACTTAAAAGAATCTACTACCATATTATTAAAAAAAATATTAACTAAATGGCTCGAACTGTTTAAGAGTTACTCAAGTAAACTTTCTGCATCAACTTTTGGGACACTTTGTATACTGTAGACTAGAATTCGTCGGGTCGGTCCGGGCCTTGATCACGTCCAAAAATTTTCGACCCGATGAGTTCTACTGTAGACAGACTGTTTCAATAGGTGGAAAAATATATTTAAATTATTAGTAAATTTTGGTTTCATAATTAGAAACAAACTACAACATAATACTGAACGATAGAACAGTAATTAGTGTCAAAGTTAGATAATTCTATCAAAACGAAAAAATCTTTAAAAAATAAAACAATTCTTTTTAGATCGAAGTTTTTTTTCCATGACGAGCATGCCATTAACTCTATGGTTGAACCAAATTTCAACTGAAAAGTAACTGTTAATGAAAGATTTTCTTGCTTATTGATGAGAGTATACAGTTCCAGTATAGATTTCATATTTAATGAATTTCTTTTGGTTGGTCTTCAGTTATGGTGGAACATTTTTCAAAATAAAAATATCTCAGTCAAGTAAAGTGTCGCGCTTCCGATAAATTACGCTCTGTTAATCTATTACAAAAAGGAATAGGTTTTTCTAAACCTACCTGTATACTGTATATACAAATGTGCAACAATACGATGAGTCATAAACCGAGAAATATATTACTAAGAGTAATAGTTCATTACAGAAGTTTTTTCCATTTGACATATTGTTAATTAAAGCTTCATATTTTTTTATAAGATTTTCAATTTTATTTAAAGCAACAAATTATTTCATATGCATTGATAATCATTTAAGAAGAGAAAGATGCACTACATGAAAGAAAAGCGAACAAGAGAGAGAGAGAGAGAGAAATAGTCCATTAAGAAAAAAAAAAGAAATAATTTTTAATCGTGAGCTACTTCATCGATAACAATAGCTAAACTTAAAATAAATGGTACATCTTGGTTTTTTTCAACTTTAACACCATATTTATCGCCAATTGCAAAGAATTTCTTTGAAATAGTAGCAACAAGGTGGTGATCTTTTTTAATTTTAAATTCACGTGAACGAAAATTGCCTTCAATTCTATATGTACCAAATTTGGAATTAACTGAAAATTTTTTACCACCAAGAAAATTAAATTTACGACTAAAAATTAATTTTTATTGTTAAATATTCAAGTTAAGAAATATACTTACTTAACTTCAGCTACCACTTGATTATTTTGACGAATTTCATATTTTGCTAAACCAAGTGGATTGACGATGTGTTTGACTTAATGAAATAGATAAAATCATAATAAAAAGCAAATTCATAATATCTTACTTGAATAATACTCATTTGTACCACTAGGATCAGTAATTTGAAGATGTTTACCTAATCCTAATTGTTTAAATCCCACCTAAAGTGATATGTACCTAAATTTTTTTTTAAATAAAATAAAAAATTACTTTATAAACTGGTTGATCACGATTATCTTTGATTGTATATGATGTACCAAGTGTAAGAACCTTTTGTTGAAGCTGATATTTAGTACCGTCTTTAAGTTTTGAGCTTCCACCAAAAATGGCAAACGATGTTGCAACTAGAATTAATTGTATAGCCAACATTTGAAAAACAAAACGAGCCATAATGAAAAGAAAGAACAAAATTTGAATGAGAGGCAAGAATTTATAGAGACTGTAATCTATATAGTAATCGTTGATGTTAAAAATGAATTGATAAATGTCGAGTGTGCGGAACGAATGATAGTACATTTCTTATCTAAGTTATTTATTTTTCTCCAATCAATGAAAGAGAACGGGAGAAGAGAAATTCATGCAGCTTGTTCGCGATATGCATATACACGTACATTATCATTGTTTAAGTCATTTTTCTTCTGACGAGATAGAATCCGCAAAATGTGTTTCTTTCGAGGCATTGATCTAACCTTCGATGTCAGGCACATATAAAACTAGCTGTACTATAGAACATAAAACATAGAAATATCAATCATTATCAGCCATAATAGCATTCAGTTCATGGTCAGATAACATTACATTTATCGATTTATATGCTTGATGAAGAAATTTTATATTTTGATTCTATCTTTCTACAATTAACATCTATAGATTTATATTGATAAAATTTACAAAAAAAACAAAAACAAAAACACACAGAAAAAGAAAAGATTCACTGAATAATTGCTAATTTTTTTGTCCATTTTTTTACAAGCCAACGCATTCGAATCATTCCAATAACAACTATAATATAACATCGAAAGCGAAAACGATAATTTGATGAACGTCGACGATAATGTTGTTTAGGTATTAATTTTATTTGATTAATATTAGAAAAATTTTGTTTTGTATTACTAGTTAAACGTTGTATTTGTCTTAAGGCAAACAATTCAGTATCTTCATAACCTGTTAATAAAATAAGTAAATAACGTTTTTGATAAATTAATGCTTTTCGATAAGCTTCACAACGTAAATATTTAAAATAAAATTTATTTAAATGATGAGAATTAAACATTTTTGATTGATTTTGATTTTGTTTTAATTGTTCAAATTTAACTTTTAAATAATTTAATTGTTCTTTTGTTTGTTCAAGTTCATTAATTAATAAAAGACGATCTTGTGATAATAATTTTCCTAATGCATTACGTTGATAATCACACATATTCTGAATATCTTGTTCTAATTTATCAACATTTTTATGTTTACGTATATCTATTAAACGACGTTCTTGTTCACATCGAAATATATTAGCAAGACATTTTATTAATGCATTACCATCTTCATTAGCATTCATATTGGCAATTAATGAACGAAGATAAGAATTTTCTTCATGTAATTTTTGTATTGAACCTATCGATTCATCTGTTGCGCCAATATTAATACCATTTAATTGTAATGACAAAAGTTCACTTAATGTTAATACATGAACACCTAAACCAAACCAAGAAGATAAAACTTTTAATTAACCTATAGTAGGAAAGACTTGGCATTAGAGTCCGTCGGGTTGATCTTGAGCCGCAATTCGAAAACTTTGAATCTGCTGGCTCCTACTTTGCACCTAAATTTTTGCTTATTTTTCGGTCATTAAAAGACATGTGAACAATTATTAGTAAATTTTGTGAAAATGTATAAAATTGTGTCTGTGCAAATCAGAATAGGTTGTAGGTTTGGTCCTTATTTTTGTGTATTAAAACAGGTTCAATTCAATATTATTCTAGAACATTAAATTCTGATCACTGTTTCAAAAACTGCTTTTTGAAAATACAAGAGTGTTAACATTTATCATGCAAAAGTCAATAGTACGTTTTGTAGAGAAAACTGAGTCATTAAAAGCTGTGTCACTTTTTGAATTTAATAGATTTCATTCGAAATACAAATATGACTAACATAATATTCTGTATGAGTACTGTTTTAGATCTTTTGGAATAATCTTATGATAAGATAAGTGTCCAATCTTACCCTAGAAAGAAATCCTAAACACGTATTCGGAAAGAATATAATAGTGTTATTCTAACTAATTGCTTCTGACTTTAACTGATCGAAAAATGAGTAGATATTTCGTGCCAATACTTTCGCACTATTGATTAGTTTTATTCTAGATTAAAAATAGAATACTACTGAAATCAACATTAAAACAATTTTAACAAGATTCAGTATTGACTAACTGAAATAATCCAAACAGCAAAATGTCTTAGATTTTGGATGCAAATCTGTACTGTAAAATTATATGGTGATTATAATGATGTACTAAAAACATATATGTTGCTTTATAGAAGGTCAATAAGAGAGAATTCATTGAAAAGAAACCTAATAACAATTGTTCCTTGAATGAAAAAAAAACCGAAATGAAGATACAACAGACGTAGTCATTATTCTTTTTTCCATATCTTATTTCAATTCTACACTAACAATATCTTGCTAATTAACTGCAGTATTTCTTTCTTGTAGCGAACAGAAGTTGTTGGCAATCTGTGCCGATAAGATTATTTTATCATCGTATGAAGCGACTAAAAATCGAAATATCACATGAAGATTGCATTGAATTCAAACATGAATATCACTTAATATAGTTGGAATTTCGCCAATGGCGAAGGACGAGTAAACTTTCGTGAACTGTCATGAAACAATATTAATAGAAGATACAGGTGAAGGATAAAACTAATATTGCTAGAATATATATATCATATCTTACACTCATCAATGTAGTCGATAGGAATATTTTTCAATCTACATCTAATTCCAAGTCAAATTGATGAAAGTCTTATTAAGAAAAACGTCGAAATCTCTCGCTTTGGCGACAAAATATCTCATTCTATCGATAACGATTGATTCTGTATGTCGATCAAAAATGTGTGAAGTATTATTTCTGAATTTTATTTGATTATGTTTGTTAAAGAAATTGTATAGAGCAATATTAATAGAGTTTTTTTTAATGCTATTTGAAAAAAAAAAAAAACATGTTTTTATCCATGATAAACAAAATATTCGATTAGCGTATTTTCTAATAGATTCATTGAAGAAGAAAAAAAACCATATAATTCTGTCTGTTTACTCTTTTTTATTTATAGAATAAAAAAGAATAACTCTTGAGAATAGCATTTATGTTTTCTTTTGTATTGTCAATGAATTAAGAACAACATTTTTAAGTATTCCAATTGAAATTTAAAAGTATGAACATTTTTGTCCTTTTCGTGTCATAAAATATAAATATATATTAATGTTTACCTTCAGTATGTAATTTATTTACAAGTCGTTTAAGTTCATCGTTATCAGTTGATTGTTGTGATAGTAACTGTCGACGTTGCTCATCTTCGTAGCGGTCATATTCTTCAGCAAGACGAACTTGTTCACGTACTTGTTCACCTATAGTAGGATCAAGATTCAAACTACTTGAACTAATATTATATAATCGTTGTTGTTCTAATAGACGTGCTCGAAATTCAGCAAAATAACGATCATATTCTTGTTTCAAACGCATACGAATTTCTATTAAATCAATAAAAAATTGTTTTATTTTTTAAATGATTCTGTTGTTTTTTCTTTAATGTTATTTACCGGTTAGTTTTTCTTTAAGTTCATGATCATAATGAAGACGAATACGTTCAAGTTCAAGTTGATGTTCGAACTGTAATTGTTCATAACGTAGTTTCCAATCAGTTTCAGGTGATTCAGTCATATTTGTTGTTGCTACTTCCGGAACTTGTGATTGTTGATGTGGTGATGTCATTTAAATGAAATTTTCTCTGCAGTGATAAAGGGAAAAAAAAGTCCCGTCGTCAAGGAATTCCGTGATACATACTATAGTTAGGATTTTATCTGAGATTACTTTTCTTTTACATCAACTTTGTATGCTGACGTTCTTGTTCTACTACTCAACCATTTAGTTTCTTTCAACCACACACTCACTTTTTTTTTTCTTTTATCTCTATATATATTCAACTCTTTCTTTCTTCTCGTTCTACTTTTCTGTTGTTGAGACGATTCTGCCATAACGACAATAGTTGAGCATAGAAGAAAAGAAAAGAAAAAAAATGCATTCGAGTTGTCAGATTTCATGTGAAGTAAAAGAGTGTTAGCGTAATAAGAAGAAACGAGAGTAATTGACAAACCCATATGTGTAGTCGTTTTGTTTCTTGCATGTTCAATTTTACTAAAAGAAGAATTATGATTTACAATCGATACTTAAGGGTGCATTTTTCTAAAAAACATCGACAAAACATAAGAAACAATTATTGCGATGGATATAAAACGTTTGGCAACTCGTAATATACTTCAAAAAGTTTTTAATTTAACACCATCATCGAATGAACAACAATTATCTTCGGGTTTAACTGTACCACTATTGAATAAAAATGAACGTTCATCAACAAGTACAGTTCCTGAGGTGGCTATTATTAATCCAAGTCCTGTAGCAGCAACTTATGCTCTTGGTCCTACGAAAAAATTCGATTTTTCACGTGCACAAAAACTTCTTCAGTTAGAACTTACTCGTCGTTGTGCTAAAATATCAAGAAATGTTCGATACGATCCAAAATTATCGAGTGATCTTGCTGGTGATTTAGCTCAACAATTACGTCGAGTTGTAAAAGCAGATAATCTTAATTATGCACGATATAAAATTGTTGTACTTATCTCAATTATACAAACAGCACCTAATCGACAAATACATCAGTCCGTGGCATTAGTATCAAGATGTTTATGGAATCGAGATACTGATGGATCAGTAACAGCACAAACTAAATTAGGTTACGATATGGTTGCTATTGCAACTGCATTTGCAGTTTATACTGATTGATATTTGAATTTTTTATTAAACAGAGTTTATGGTTAAAATCTCGGTTAAGAACTTTTGATAAATATACATCATCAATCCTTCTTTTTTTTTTTGGTTTTATGTAACTAAAGATAAACTTTAATACTAAATGAATAAAGAGCAAAGCCTGATATTCTTCAATACTTGTCAAGATCAAACTTTCTTTCTTACTCTCATTCATAATCACGTTTGATTTAACACTAAATATGTTTTTTTTTTCTACATCCAGGTGTTGTTGATTTAATATAAAATATGATCAGGATTCAGTAGAAACAAAGTGTCACTTTGTCCTTTTCATGCTTGTCAATTATAAATATCAATAAGCGATATTTATGTGTCCTGGTAATCGATATTTTTTTCCACAGAATACAAAATCCATCTGGCGCAATTCTTCCGACCTGTCGTTGGCATTAACTGTAGATAAAAAAAAAAGTCGAAAACAATAATGTTAATATAAAACTGTTATTCATACGAATGTGATCCGTGTACATAATAACAGGCGATAATGAATCTATAAAAGCATTTTTTCAAATAATCGATTCGGATGGTAATGGTTACATTTATAAAGATAAATCTCAACACATTTTTTCTCATTGATCACTAGTGGAAATTGATACAATATTTAATGATTTTAATAAAGATAATAATGAACGTGTTTGCTTAAAAAAAAACAAATGCAATCAAATAATTACTCTAATGCATTACTCAAACATGATGTAATTAAGCATCAAGAAAATATGACACAGACACAAATCAATGAAATATTCAATAATCTTTCATGGTATGAAAAAGATGATAGAATAGGTTTATTAGGACTTTTCTTGTTGAAGAACATTTCGATTAAAATCTAAAGTGAGATATCAATTTGTGCAGGTGTAGTTGATGAATAATATAAAATCGATTGACACCTACACTATGTTGATAACTGTTTTTTTCGTTCTTTTTTGGTCTACCTTTACTGCTGAATACTCCTCTCTCGATACTCGTAAGCGTAAAGAAAAAAGTCAAATCACTATTCTTAGTTATAGAAGCATTGCGTTGTTGTGATAAACATATTTATGTACAGGATTGTGCATATGGTTGAAAGAAAGAAGAGGAGGACGACGAAAAGAGAACGAAGAGAAAAACGAGTATAATGAAAATAACTATATCAACAGCGACACTGACAAAACGGTTCTGGTTATTTTATTTTCGATACAAATTGTGCAAGAAGTACTATCAAACAATTTATTAAGTGAAAATCCATACAATGGACATTATCAATAATAAAGGCTATGATGATATTGTATTTTCTAAGTATGTAAGACAGTTTCTTTAATAGAAAACATACGCATCATATATTTTTTGAAAAGATTTATTTTTGCCTCAATGGAAATATAGACCTATTTGATGTACACAAATCCAAAAGTTTTGTTTGTTAAGTATTCATTTGATGTTCTCAAAACCTAAATTAAAGAATAATGTTGATGATAGAATATTATTTTCAAAGCATGAGAAAAAACTATGCATTGAAAGAGTATTATGTTTTTTTCTTAATAGCCAAGAACAAATCTATGATTTTTGTGAAATACTCCGAAATAGTTCAAATGGCTCAATCGAACAATTTCAAGCAATTCTTGAAGTATTTGTTTGTGATATTCTTAAATATCGTAAAGAAACAAAACGATTAGAAGATTCATTTAAACGGTATCTAAAAAAAAATTCATGTTTTAATTTTTTGTTTTAAACTAATTTTTTTTTATTTGTTTATTTAGTGAAAAAGAAACAAATGAAAAATATTTAAGACGTATTGAAGAAGATCAAGAACGAGATATGCATGAATTAGAAGAGAAAATTCGAAAAGAAGTAAATGAAAAAAAAAGAATAAAAACTTTACTGTGAAAGTTCACACAATCTCTTTGTTCATTTATAAGGAACGGCAAAAATTTGAAATTGAACGTGAATTAATTCAACAACGTACAACAAAAGAAATCAATGATTTACAATCAAATATTCAACGATTACGAACTGTATGTAATCTTTTTTTTTTTTTTACAACACTTTATTTTTTTTTCTTATTTAATTAAATTAGATTGAACAACTTTATATTAACCGTAAAAGTGAAGAAGATTCTTTAATAATTCCATTACGTGAAGAAATAGCAAAATTAATAGAAGAAAATCAAACATTTAACGCATCTTTGAATGAAGCTTTAACAACTAATGCTATATTACAAAGTGATTTACAGTCATTTAGAACTCAATTAAGTGAAAGACAAACAATGCTTTTACAGTATGTATAAAGAAAATATATAGTTGAATTAGTTTATTATACTTTAGAGAAAAACAATCATCATCAAGTAATTATCGAGAAAAAGAATCACTACAAATAAATGTCCGTCATCTGGTGTACGTAATCAAACAAAAGAATATTTAATGAAATATATTTTCTATTTTAATAGAGAAGTTAATAAACAGCTTCGTGATGAAAATGATTCATTACGTGCAATGATTGAAGCAAATAAATCAAATACTACTCCTGCACATGTAAGTATAAACAGAAAATAAAATTCTGAAATTTATTCCAATTTATTATTAGCTTACTCTGTCACCAAGAAGATTATTTTCTACAACAGGTTCAACTCTGGGCTCTTATTGGAATGATTCAAAACTAGGAAGGTGGTATTTAATCTGATATTTTTTTTTAACAAAAAAATGTTAGTATTGATTCTTTTATATAGTCCATCACCATCCTATGTAACGATCACAAATCAATCTAAATTCGATTCATTTGATCTTGAATCAGCTGATGATAAAGGTATACTTATCAATAGATCTCTATCTATTAAAAAACGAGATATTAACAATTCATCAAAACCAGTAGTACCATTAGCACCAGCTTCCATTATTTGCAATACTACGGATGAAAAAAATACTATGAATGGTTTGTTTGCATGTGACCATGGTTCTAACATGTATAACAAATCAATAAGTGTTATGCCTTAATTATTAAAAATCTAACAAACTTTTCTATGTGATCAGTTTTAATACAAGCTGTAGCCTGACAGAATCTATCTAAAATGTATTAATTTTCTTGTTTTTTTTTAATTTGATATAGATAGTGGATTGTCATTGACAACAGTCCGAGATGCAACTGAACTTGAATCCGATCATGAATCAAACCCGAACCAACAAACCCCAACAACGAATTTAAAACAATATCGACCATTAATTACTAAACCAAATAAGGCTGATACAGATTCAGATGATGTTTTTGTTGAGGTACAAATGATATGCATTTTTAAGTGTTTTTTTGCAAACTCTTAGAAAGATATAATTAGGTTCAATATCTAATATGTTAGAGTTACTAATGTCTGGCTTATACTCTGTGATAAGCCATATTAAAACACTCAAAATTCTTTTTGCAAAAGTACTTCTTATCGATATACTTATCATTCAGTACTCAACAACAATACAAATACTTTTTAGACATTTTTATCCTCTTTGTTGTATATAGAGTGGAATCCCTCGAAGTTATTTTTGTATTTTGTGATATTCTGTGTTTGCTTCAAATCATCACAAAACATTGCTAAATACCATTATTTTACCTGAATACATAAATGTATAATATAACAAATAGAAAATCTCGCAAAAAAGCAATAGATCTTGATTCAAGGTATAACAATTTCATATGATTTACTATTTCGTCTCGGAAATCCCAAAAATATTCTTCAAAAGAAAGGGAAAATTTTTAATATTTTATTCGTATAAGCATATCCTTTAACAATTGACTTATTTCTAGAGAGTAAATATACTCATTTATATTCTCTAATAGGTTTCATTTGATCGTAATCATCCTAAGAAGTCGTCTCAGCAACGACCATCGAGACGACCGATCAGTAATACACGTTCAGCATCAAAACCTACAACTAATCATTTACAAGCAATCGTTCGATCACCTACGACAAAACATGGTGATGAACAGAATATGAAGGAAAATCTTCCATTCGAGTAAAAGATGAGCTGAGCTTCCTTTTTTCTTAATTGTTTTTCTCTCCAGTCGTATGTTCAAAGTTGTCTTTTGTGGTGATGCAGCTGTTGGTAAAACTACACTAATCATGCGTTTGTGTAAAAACAAATTTGTATCAAATATTAATTCAACATTGGGTGTTGATTTTCAAAATAAACAAATTGAAGTTGATGGTAAACATGTAGCTCTTCAATTATGGGATACTGCTGGACAAGAAAGGTTGAAGATGAATTTTCTTCTTTTTTTCCTATTATCCTAACAAATTATTCTTTTAAAGATTCCGTAGCATTGCAAAATCGTATTTTCGTCGATGTGATGGTGTTATACTTGTTTATGATTCAACATATGAACGATCATTTTTAAATGTTCGAGAATGGATTAATACAATAACAGATTCAACACCAAAAAGAGTATCTGTTATGATTGTTGCAAACAAAATTGATTTAAGAGATCAAATGCGAGCGGAAGGTAAACGTGTTATTGAAAAAATTGAAGGTTTAAAATTAGCTAAAGTTTGTTATTAAAGAAAAAAAATCAATATCTATAATCTGTTTCATATTTTTTTTATTCTAGGAATATAAAGCATTATTTATTGAAACGAGTGCAAAAGATGGTACAAATTCCAACGAAGCACTTGCTGAATTAGCTCGGTATGTATGCAAGATTATTAGTATAATCGATATACGCCTGTGTGTTTAATATTTATTACCAATCATATTTTTGTTGTTTTTTTTAATGTAATTATAGAGATATGCAATGCAATGAAGATTTGGAACGTTTTCGTACAGCAGGAATTGATTTGGATAAAACAACGAAAAAATCTGCTTGCTGTGGTGTCAAAACTTAAATAGAAAAATATTTTATTCATTATTCTACTTTTTCTTTTACAATGTAAAATTATTTTTCTATCTAAATAACTGACTAGGTCCATTTTTTTACTTTTTTTACTCTCGTAGATATTTCGATATTAAATTGGAAGAGTGATGGACTATCGGTTTTCAAATCTATTTTATTTTCTTGTTGTACATACACATTTTTTTGTCGAATTCTATGCTAAGTTTTTGAAATTGTGCGTATTACAATTCTTTTTTTCCTATCATGAAATACAAATGACGCTAATTTATTGAGAAGATTATTTGAACAAAGGATGAAGTCGTATTAGACAACAAATTTGTCTATTCTTAAACTTATAAAATTTATATGCCATTCCATGCAGAATTTAATGCTAAGTGATTTGCTAGTAATTTTAAATCGATTTGATGATGCCTCAAAGTAATAAGGGCTCAAAATATTATCCTTAGTTCCTCATTGCCACTATGACTACTGTAATCGCTAGATGTTTTCCTGATTAATTTCTCTATGGCAATGACGTTTTTATCTCAGATTGGTTTTATCCGATAGAGTATTTAATTCTGTATTGATTTCTGTAAGACCAAATCTATTGAAAAGAGTTTTTCATTGTAATCTCGCTGGAATTAAAAACTGAAACACGATTGATCTTATTATTCTTGATGGTTAGATAGATTAAACTATTGAAATACCTGACAAGTTGTATTACGCTATAGAGAGCTTCGTCGACTGTTTCTGTTCATTAGAGTCAGTGAGGTGGAAGGAGAGAAATTCACCTTCATCGAGGTATCCTTCAACAATCCTTTCGTTGTTTACTTATTGATGGGTCATTAACAAGTTACTAATTAAATATAAATGAGTAACTAATGAAATACTAATGAGCTATTAATTAGATGTCAATTAGTAAATTTAAATAATGAGACCTTGCTTTATGATATGTCGACATGTCTGTTACAGTCAATAGAAGAGGGGGCAGTAACTCGAAATTTCTACCGTATATACTTCAACATTGTTAAGATCGTGTTTCACAAAAAAACATCGATGTTTTTATTTGCCATTTCATTGGCGATTATGGTATGTTAGCTAAAAAATTCAGTTATACTCATTAAACTTGCTACCTGATAGATATTGATAGAGGTCCGTTGCAGTAAATATTTATATACTAATCGATAGCACTTTTCAAAAGCTACAGTTTGTATGTTCTTGTTCAGTATTTGGTAGATTTTGATTGTGAAAAAAAATTATGAATTGACTCAAATCTAAAATGGTATTCGGCATCAGTATTGACAACTGTGTCGGCCTATCTGTACTCAAAACTTTATCACGAACTTTTCTTTCGATGAAAAATTTTGCTACTGGTTCGCTCAGGATTGATTCAAAAATGAATTTCATGAAGAAGTTATTTCAATTATGAGAAATAAGTTCTATTGCGATAAAACGATAGCAAGAAAAAACAAAATGCAGATGACGAAACAAGACACTCATGTCGACAATGAGGACTAACTGGACATTGTAGTAAAATTTAATATTATTGATCATGCCTATTCGTGTTTTTGTAAATTATAACAGATAAGAACTGAAAATTTTACGAAAGGCATAATGGAAAAACTCAGCTCTATCTAGCATGCATGTCGTCAACAGATGGCACTTGTTGACAACGATCAAATATATGAACTGTTCATTATATTGTTCAAACTAGAAAGAAAAAGAACTTTTATATTCAAAAAAAGAATTCAAGAAAAAAGAATTTTCATGTTTACAAACCAGGGCTCCTTACTGGACAGAGTACCCTGCAGGATATTTCAGGACAGAACAGGGCAGTTTCAGAATTTTCAACAGGACAGGACAGGGCACATGTTTCAATTACTTGTCCTGTACGAGTTGCACTGAAGATTGTCCCCTTTCATTCGAAACAGCAAGCCTAAAAGGTGTCGCTACTGACTATTCTTTGCCGAGACGAAATTCTAGTACGAGATTTCGATTGAATTATGAATTCAACAAAGTATTTTAATGTGAGTTGATTGAACAATTTATCTTTGTTTGATGGAATATAATGCTATTTTACGTATAGGCTAGATCCCTATATCTACTTTTTCATTGTTGTTTTCGAATGTCTTCTTAAATTTTGTTTCACCTTCAAGTAGTATCATCCAATCTGTTTCCACACCACTGTCTAAAATTAGTCTAATAAAAGGGAATGGTAATTTTTAATCGATCGAAATCCATATAAAGAAATTCGAAAATTGAAGTGATCCACTTTTTTGTCTGAAAAATTCGACTTTAATTGGATTGAAATCGTACACTTTAATCTATTTTTAGTAATGAGAAAAAAAATCGAATTGAAACTAATTTGTTGGAAAACTTTTTCCTGTGGCTTGCGCTCTATTCACTTATAATTTATATTTGGTTGTGTTCACTTATGTGTTTTTTTTTTGCGTGAAACTATTATTGGCTAGTGTAAAAAAGAAAACATTTTCATTCTTTATATGTTACAATATTTTTGAAAGGGAACAAATAAAGAAAGACTATAATACATTAAATTATTCGCAAAATATTTTCAAAGAAAATTGCCACTCGGTTGCATTCTTTTTTTTGACAGGACAGGGCAGGATAGAGTAACCACAATGCAGGACAGGGCAGAGGAGAACAATCGGAGGACAGGGTAAAATGGAAGCAGGACAGGATAAGACACAGGGGAAAATTTTTCACCATATTAGGAGCCCTGTTCCAAACAATAGTGGTACTGTAACCGAAGGAAATTTCATATTCCTTTTTATGGCAACATGTACTTTGGATTACTTATTATTTATACGACTTGCTTTTCTCAAATACCTTAAAATGGAACCCTTATTGTATACGTTGAATTGAAATATGGCCCGCCTCATTTAGGCAAAAATGATTGGTATTGTAGATAAAGCACTCGACCAACAAGGCCGAAGCAAAGCAATATTTAGCGTTTTGAAAGTAATGTCGCATTCTTCTGACTTGTTCTTGGCTTACAAAGTTAATATACTATTTAAACATCAGTGAAATCTATAGATGGATATAACATGTTCTGTTGAATACTGAATATTTCATTTATTCAACATCTTGATCATTATTGAGCATCAAAATCTAAAACTTCCAGGTCGAATTCATCTCGATAGTATTTAGATTTTAAGAATACTTCGTTTCAAAAAAAACTCGATAGGAAATAATGAAATTAAGATAGTAGAAATCATCTAAATATTGGTAAATAAAGAAAAAAAAACTTTTCACTGATCTATTGACAATAACTTCATTAAAGATAAAATAAATATTCAGTACCAAATATTAAATATAACCGAATGTTCGAGGAATGTTTTTTTATAGTTGCACATTCAACTATATCCATATCATTTTATCTATTAATGTTTTAGAATATTATGGAACCAAGTCTATATGAATGGTAAATGTCTCAACATCGACAAATTGAAGAGAACTTGACAGCTGATATTTACATAAATTGTTACGGTTCTGAAGATGCATTCTTTGCAAATCATCTGGCTAATCTATTACAAAAGTATGAGTGTGAAACCGTGTGTAACAGCATACAATGTCCGATTAAGAAAAAAAAAGTGCCAGAATTCGTATTTATCATTCAAGTATGTCTTATCTATTCATTCAACTTGAAGACACATTTCCACTTTATTTAATTGTCAATTAGCTAAATTTATAATATACAATATTAGAGAAATCAAAACTTAATAATACATTATAGATTGTTCTGAAGTAATAATAAAAAGTTTATTTAAGTTCAGTTCCTATAATTCTTAACATCTTTTAAAACACTTTGCATTGTTGTTTATTCGCAATAGTTTGATTATTTGTAAACTATCATTGAATTCAGATCCATGTATTATTGGCGTTAATACACACCATATAGTTGATCATTTTTGTTGTTTTTAATTAGTCTCATTTCTTGTCTAAATTTAAAAAATTTAGTCAAAGACTGACTTTGAACTCTAATTTTGATTTTGCCTCTAATAGTGAATATTATGTACTATTACCAATTAAAAATAAATTAATATAGATAATTAAAAATAGCTTGTAAGCGTATCGTCTTTGGAACTGAAACGTTGAACTTATGTATGTTCTTTAGCCTAATTAAACCAATACAAAATAGCTAAGGTGAAAAATCTCTCGTAGAATATAGTTTTCCAAGATAATCGACCATTGAATTAGTATTTGTCTGATTTATTTCGATATTCTTAACCGAAAGTTTTTCTTTTTCTTTTATTGGCACTCTAGAGTTTGCTTGCATTGTTGATATTACCGCGTTGTTTTTTTTTGTTTTCGTATTTCGTATTTACATGTATCGATAATAATTCGTTCCCAACCTTTTGAAAATTAACCCGAATTCAATCTCCAAAATTGGAATAGAAACTGTTTCGAGTTGAAATTGATGCATCCCTAGTTCAGATGAATACTAACAATGAAACTTTTTCTTCTATTCAGTGTGATTGATGGTAAGACCCAGCATCCAATCATTGCTCAATTTGATACTCGAATTCCAGAAAAATATGCCCATGAAATAACTAAATGGTCGTCAAACGTTTCTGTACCAAAACATGCCGAGTTGAGATACTTAAAGAAGATACAAATTGATGAGAAAGAAAACGACGAAGATGAATCAGGGTAACGTCTATTGAAGATATATCTATAAAGATAAAAGCACTGTTCTATCATAGTATTATTGTTGTCTATGCTGGTCAACGTTCATCAACAGTACCGACATTTGTGAATGTTACTTATTCGCCGATCTCATTAATTGCAAATGTCGAGGAAACAATTACGCCAGATTATGTTCACGTCATTTTTACTTACAAAATCAAGAGTAAGTATCAATAACTAAAATATTAGGCCTACAGCAGATTTAACACATTGCTGCATGGTTTAGATATTCATTATTTGATACAACAAACCACAAACCTGCTCATTTCATCGGTATGGTGGCGTACAACGATCACAACCAAGATA